GGGAAAGGTGTTTTAAGGGCTTATTTTACTTCTCATTATCCTCCTCTGATTCTGATAGTAGTAAAGTCACTTTGCAACTCTAAGTTGAGCCTGTTTTTCCCTTGAAGTGTTTTCTTCTGATTCTTTTGTCACTCATTTTTTTCCCTCTCCGCTGCCAAGCTGTAGCAGGGGAGGGTGAGCAAGCCACTCTTGTGGGTGCCTGGTGCTGGGCCAGTGCCAAACCGTGACACTTGCATAGCTTGAGCATGATAGATACCAATTCCAACTTGTGAAATGTCTAAGAACTGAATATAACAACAGCTGCTGGGCCCTTCAGCCATTTGCTAAAGGAGGTATGAGGGACATATCTGTTCCTGTTTGTTGGCCATGTACACCAGGCAATGGAACAGAGAAAAAGAGATGAAATCGTGGGCTGTTCCCAGGCACTGTTGTTTTCTATCTCCACTGCCAGTGTATTTTGGACTGTTAGTCTAATTGCCATTGGCTGCAGGGTAGCAGTGGTCGTCTTCATCAGCTCCAAGGAAAAGGGCACAAAGTAAAATCCACTGCAGGTACTCCTACACTCTTCTTCCTCCATCTTTTTCCTTGAGCAGACTGGAATAGTTCTTACAGGGAGTATCAGGGGCAACCACTAAGATGCAGTGGAGATCCTGCAGGTTGTCCGTCAGCCTCTCCTGTGAAAGGAGGGAGGGCAATATGTCTCCATTAGACTGACCTGGGGAGATAATAACAACAAAAGAAAGAGAAAAGTGGAAAAAGGAAATAGGAACCTGAATCTCTGTCATGTGCCCAAACATTAGAGACCTTGGGCATGCAGGTGAGAAGCACAGAAGTGGTGCCCCTTTGCTGACAACTTGGACAAAAAAAATCTATAGGCATGAAACAGGTTCACAACACCTGCCCACAGGGGATGCTGCTAGCCCTTGATCTCAGCATTGTGCCTGTGCTGATGTCTTTCTGCCCTCAAGTTCGTGAACCTCTCATCTTGACACTTACATAAGTTTGCATAAAAGAAAACACGTGGAAAGCACTAGGAAATGAAAAGGCAGCAATGCAGGAAACCAGGACACAGCCCCTACCATTAGCTGGGATAGTTTGCATTTGACATGAGCTGGTCAGAAAATTATGCCTTCCACAAAGGTGCCTCTGGGCCTGAGGCAGGGCAGGACTGCTATAAAAGGCAGCCCAAGTCTCTGCTCTCTCATCCACTTCTCTCACCTCCTTCTCCTCAGGAATCCTCAGGTGAGTGCGAAGATCCTGCTCCTGCTGCTTCCAGAGCAGCTCTTTCCTGGCTGTAGGTCTCAGCTGAGACGGGATTTGGGAGCACAGGGCTGGGAGCTGCTTCTGCTGGGAGAGGGCAGGGGAGACAAGGTCTTGTGCAGACAGTGAGAGGCTGGCACTTGGCTGAGGTGGCTCCTGGGCTTTGAGCTGGGCACTGCAATGTGGGTCAGGAGCTGCCTTGGCTGCAGGGTGTTTGGGTGCAGTGCTGCTTCTCATGTGTCCCCACTTTCTTCTCCTGCCTGCCCTCTGTGCCAGGTGCACCTGTGACCCCGAGCCATGTCCTGCTGCAAGCCCTGTGACCCTTGCTGCCAGCCCTGCGGCCCTTGCCCACTGGCCAACAGCTGCAATGAGTGCTGTGTCAGGCAGTGCCAGAGCTCCCATGTCGTCATTGAGCCGCCTGCTGTGCTGGTGACCCTGCCCGGCCCCATCCTCAGCTCCTTCCCACAGAACACCGCCGTGGGATCTTCAACCTCTGCTGCCGTTGGCAACATCCTCAGCTGTGGTGGAGTGCCCATCAGCTCTGGGGGCTTTGACATCTCCTGCATCACCAACTGCTTTGGTGGCAACAGATGTCGTCCCTGCTAATTCTGCTGGCAACACCCTCGCGCAAGAACTTTCACAACCTTAGGACTTGGTTCTGAGCAGGAGATAGAGCTTTGGGACATTGTAATTAGAGTTTCCAGCCATTGTTCCCTCCTTCTCTCCTTTTGCTTCTTCTTTTGCTGTCCATGTCTTCTGAAGCCAGTTCAGTGGACCCCTGTTTCTCTCCCTTCCCTCTGCAGGCCAAGCAGAGGGACAGCCCCACTGCATCTTAGTGGCTCCTCCTGGTGCCCTCTCTGAGCCACTCTGAGTATTTTTTTCCTCTACACTCAATAAAGCTGTTTTGCATCCATGTATGGTCATCTGAGTCCTCCTTCATTCTGTAACAACTCTTCCAGTCTGCTCAGGGAAAATAGCTGGAGAAAGCAAATGATGGGACTTTCCTTTGTGTTTTTTCCCTTGGAGATGACAAAGTCATCCATGGCTTCTCAGCAGCCAAGGCCATTAGGGAGACTGGCTCCAAAGGGTGTCAGGAATGGAGAAGAGAAAAACAATTCCTGGGACCCATAGAGATTCATTGGTTCAGTGTTGATCAGTCTCAAGTTATGCAGTTCTTAGTATTTGGTTTCCTATTTGTTACCGATCTCTTCGCCTTCGCCTCTGATGCTAATTAGATCCTCGTTCTTGTCTCTCCTTTCTCAGACCAGATGTCTCAGACCATGCCAGGGGTGTTGTTTGGAGTTGATGGTCCATTAATGGCCATTGATAGTCATTATCTTTCGTGTATCTTCTGTGCAGTTCCTAGTCTGTTGGGATGTTCAGCTCATCAGGCCTCACTTAGTGGAACAATACCCTTTAAAGAAACTTCAGTTCTCTTCCCCGAAAATGTTGCAAATGTCAGAGTGGGACACTGGTGGTTTGGTTCTTTTGCTTCTTTTCCTTGGGGGGAGAAGAGGGAGAAAGACTTGTTTTCTTGTGTTTGGGCTCAGTTGTTTATTTGTTTAGTCTTCCTTTCTTATCGATATTACGTATTTACTGAGTACAAGGAGTTATATACACTAGGGTAGCAAGGTGCAAAATGGAGGAGCGAAGAATCTCTCCAAGGCCTTTTATGTGTCCATTTACCCAATAACCAAATGCCAAGTAACTTATTTTCTTTAGTGACCCAATGACCCGACACCTGTGCGCTGCACTGTGTACTCTTTCATCCAATCACTCATTATTACTCAAAAACCCTTAGAGGAAGAAGATGAAGAAAGAAGAAGAACAAGAAGAGACAATGCCCCAAATCCTCCATCTTGTATTTCACATACTAATATAACTAAAACTCCAAACTCCAAACTTTTCACCCAGTGATTTAATACAATTCTATCTAATTCACACACTCACATTCTCAGTTTCTCTACGTAGTTCCAGAAGCTTTCTCCATGGCTTTAGGCTAAGCTCAGTGTTCTCTTGGATGTCAGTCTGTCAGCACAGATAAGGGAATATTTTCTGTGCCTCTTACTCCAACAGGCAAACATAGGTTGGATGTGATGATATCAAAGGTCTTTTCCAATCTAGATTCTGTGATTCTGTGAAAACTGACTAAAGTTATTAAACAAAAATTTTATACTTTATATATTTTCCAACAGAGGCAATGCTCCCCACCCCCGCAACCCCTGGCCAGATGTCTGGAAGTTCCACCACAACCCAGAGAAGTCAAAGGGTATTTAACCTGAGACACAAGGCAAGAACATATTTTGACCCTCCCTGTTTTTGGAATTTCCATAGGCTGAGCACCATCGGAACCAGAAATGGTACTGTGATTGTTCTTTTCTATTCCTTTTTTGTCTTTCTCTCTTTCCTCTTCTTCTAATTCCTTCATTGGAATTTTGAGTAATTTAAAATCAGATGGGCTTTGAGTCTATTAAATTGAACAGATTAAATTAATGCTTTGAGAAGTGTTTTGTGTTGATTGGACGCTGCTTGAAAGATTTTTGCCAAAGTTCTTTGATTTTCTAAAGTTGTCAGTAAAAGGTTTTTTGATTTTTGTGACCTCTTGAGAGTATCTTCTTGGTGTTTCTCTTGTGTGTCTAACTCAGAGTACATGATAAACCAAGGCCCATGTAAGTGTCACACTGAATGAGATTTTGGGGGCCTTACATTTCAATTGGCAGAACGAGCAGGACACTCTTGAGGTGATGAAGAGGTGTTTTATACAGAGAGAAATACTCCTTGCAGAATAAAGGAGAAAATAATTTTTGGTTGAAACAAATTCTCCAGCAAAAAGGTCATAGAATCCTGGGAAAATACTGATCTGACCTGTTCTCTAATGATAGAATTGCTAAAAGTTTATAAACCTTGTCCAGCCTCATAAAGAAGGATGTGGAGTAAGAAAAACTGGAAAAATCTGCAGTTAGTTTAAGAGAAAACTTGTACTTTGGCAAAAGATGGGGGAAAAATTTCAGCAAGTTTTGTAGATACTCCACTGGTATCCATACTGGTGGAGGCTGAACTCAAATATGTTGTGGAGCAGCAACAGAAAGACCTGATTGTGTTGCAAGTTGCCTTGGGGGCTGAAACAATAGCCCACCTCAGGGCAGATCAAGAATGGAATGCCCAGAAGAAGTTAGCCCAAAACCTGAAAAACCAGTTAAACAAACTTGTCCAAAACCAAAGAGCTTTGGAGCTCTTTGGTAATTTGTAAATTAACACTGCTGGGGGAGGTGTTGAGAATGAATTCGTTTTTCAGCCCTGAGGAAAAGGTGGACCTCCTTGAACATGATGTCACAATCCTCAGCCCCTGTGAGTTTAATGCAGCAGAACCAAAACCTCCCTGCATCCTTAACTCCACCCACCTGTAAAAACTGAGGAGGCAGAGAGGGAGGTGGGACTCCCTGAGCCTGATACCATTTCATTCCACCTCCTTGAGAAGGGGTTTGAGTCAGAAAAGCCAACCCTCCTTCGCTTCCATTCACCCCAAACTCTGCCCGCTTGTAAAGACAAAATTCATTTATCAAGAGGCAGAGTAAGCAGTAATATTTCAGTCTGCAACAGAATTGGTTAAGTTACAAGGGAAAATTTGCAATTGTCCCAAGGAGAATGGAACAGAGAAGGTTTTGAAAATTTCAGTGGCTGGGGTTGTCTTGATTTAAGATAATTTAATGAGCTGGGCACTCTAAAATGAGTAATCTTCTGTGAGAAATGAGCCTCATTCTTTGAAATTTTTAAAGTTTAATAAGGGATAAAAGGGACCTTTGCAGCACTGGATGTATAGCCATTGCTAGAGGCATGCTGGTTAACTATAATAACTCCTCTTATATACTTTTTCATTGCATTGGTTAAATATGTATTAACAAAGATTATACATATTTAAACATTATTTTGAGTTTTTTTACATGTTCCAGGAATTCCTTAGCTTGGTTTGACCCCTGGCCCATCTTCTTTGAGTACGTGCAATAGCATAGGTGTGATATCTGGGAATTGTGTATGCCTTTTCTTCACAAGGTGAATGTTACTCCTCACCACGACTCCTTGTTCGTGGTCTCAGAAAGCGATAATGATTGATATTTGAAAAGGTCAGTGGCAGAAGTCCTCTTCACGTCCTTTCTTTCGATGTTATCTGCATGGTTCTTTCAGTGTTATCAAATCATGAAGACAGTTCTAGCTATTTAAATGAACATCGGCTATTTCACGAATTTATCTGAGTTATTATCACTATTGTCAGTTAGTTACAAAAATAAAATCATTAGCTGCTTCTGCAAAAGTCATTACAACACATAGCCTCTGTTTCAGTATTTTGCTTAAGCCTAAACTATAATATATGCTTATCACACTAAAATATACAAGCTACACAGGGCCCAAGGCATTTGGCCACAGAAATCAGATGAACTATACTATATTAAAAGCAGTTAAAAGTGATAACAAACTGTACTCTATCAAAATTGTTGTGATTAATAATAATTTGCAAAAGCTGATACATAATAGCAAAAGCCAATAACTACATAGCTATTTATAACATCTTCTCTTAATTCTAACCAATCCTTTTCCACCAATAAAGTAGATTTAGTGAAAAAATGGCAGTTTACTAACAAACGGAACAGGGAAAAAATAATGGTAAATTACTGCTAAATATAAAATTGCTGAACCTAACAAAACCAATGGGAATATGGAGACATGAAATTCCATAAATATGCTTCCCAAGGTGGCTGCATGGTTTGAGGGACAAGGGAAAGACAGCATCATACCCTTTCCTTCCAAGATGGCAGGTGACCATGTGGTCCCAGGAGAAAAGGGACAAGATAATTGTAAATCCTACTGGGAAAGGCAAGGTCCTTTAGAGCAGTTCTAATGGCTGATGGACTTGACAGTACACGTGGGGTCTGCACTGCTGCCACTTCCTCCTGCCCTTCATGGGGTTCCCCTGCTGCTGTTGCTGTGCTCTGCACTGTGCAAGTGTGGAGAGGAAAGGACAGGTCTGTCCACACCAGCACAGGGCAGTCTGACCCCACGAATATGCTCGCTTTTTTGCTGCTGGCAAAGATTTTGAAGTTCATTTCAAAACAGTTTCTAATTGTGAAATGCAGTCTTTACAAGAGACTACAGTTGTAAATCCAAAGCAACTACCTTCAAAGCCAAGATCCCACCTTCACAGAAAGCTGCCATGAAAGAGAAAGTCTCAGTTTCCATATTCTTCTTTCTTGGAACGGGGGCTAATCCATCTTGACCAGCTTGCTGGAGTGTGGCTGCCTGTGGTGACAGGCAGGACCTGTGGGATTCACCTCCAGGAAGCTCAGAATTGCTATCTGTAGTTTCTCTGAGACAAGGGAATAAAAACAAAAAGAGAACCCCAAAATGAAGAAAACTCTGCCCAAGCAAGACCAACAGCCCAGCCAGGCAGTAGCCCATGGGGGTGTTTGGTTCACAGGAATAGGGACTGTGACTGCATAGCTTGAATATGGCAGATATTGATACCAGGTGGTGATTCACCTCAGCCTCACATATCTGGAATACAGCTGGGCCTCACCAGGTAATGAAGGAGTGTGTGGGGTACATATCTCATCTGTCTTTGACCATCTCTGCTAACCACAGACTGTAGACCAGGTGATGGGGTGGAGGAGAAGGCAGAGATTGAGGTTATGGGCTGTCCCCAGGACTTTGTTTCCCATCTCTATTGCTGGAACCCTTCAAAGCCAGGGTCCCCCTGATGACCATTCTCTCTGTGAGGTAGCCAGGGAAGGTTCTGACACCTCCAAAGGCATGAAGTAAAATTCACTCCAGGAAGTCCCAACACTTGCTTTCTCCAACTATTTGCTTGACTTGACTGGAAGAGTAGCCATGGAAAGAAGGAGGATTTGGAGCCCAGGGCTTGGTTGCAAAACAGCTTTATTAAGTGCAAAGATGAAAAGGAGGTGCCTCACAGAGAGCACCCGGAAGATACACTAAGATGCAGAAGAGTTCTTGCAGGGTGTCCATCTGCCCTAAGGAGGAAGAGGAAGGGCAAAAGGTTCTCTCATGTTGGTTTGGGGAGACACAGATAGCTAAAGAAAGAGGTAAAGAGGAGAGAGGAGAAGGGGACAGTGGCTCAAAACTATAATTGCCACGTCCCAGAGCTCTATCTCCTGCCTAGAACCAGGTCCTGAGGTCTTGGAGGTTCTTGCCCAAGGATGTTGCCAACAGATTTAGCAGGGACGACATCTGCTGCCACCATAGCAGTTGGTGATGCAGGAGATGTCAAAGCCCCCGGAGCTGATGGGCACTCCGCCACAGCTGAGGATGTTGCCAACGGCAGCGGAGGTGGAGGATCCCACGGCGGTGTTCTGTGGGAAGGAGCTGAGGACGGGGCCGGGCAGGGTCACCAGCACAGCAGGCGGCTCAATGACGACATGGGAGCTCTGGCACTGCCTGACACAGCACTCATTGCAGCTGCTGGCCAGCGGGCAGGGGCCGCAGGGCTGGCAGCAAGGGTCGCAGGGCTTGCAGCAGGACATGGCTCGGGGTCACAGGTGCACCTGGCGCAGAGGGCAGGCAGAAGGAGAAAGTGGGGACACATGAGGAGCAGCACTGCACCCAAACACCCTGCAGCCAAGGCAGCTCCTGGCCCACATTGCAGTGCCCAGCTCAAAGCCCAGGAGCCACCTCAGCCAAGTGCCAGCCTCTCTCTGTCTGCCCCAGACCTTGTCTCCCCTGCCCTCTCCCAGCAGAAGCAGCTCCCAGCCCTGTGCTCCCAAATCCCGTCTCAGCTGAGACCTACAGCCAGGAAAGAGCTGCTCTTGAAGCAGCAGCAGGAGAAGAGGTTTCCCACTCACCTGAGGATTCCTGAGGAGAAGGAGGTGAGAGAAGTGGATGAGAGAGCAGAGACTTGGGCTGCCTTTTATAGCAGTCCTGCTCTGCCTCAGGCCTTGTAGAACCTCTGTGGAAGTGACTATTTTGTGACAAGCTCATGGCAAATGCAAACCATCCAAGCTAATAATGGAGCTGTGCCCTGGTTTCCTGCATTGCTGCTTTTTCATTTCCTGACTTCTGCCATATGCTTTCCTATATGAAAGGCTAATTCTGTAATTGTTGTGATGAGAAGGTCAGTGATTTCTGAGGCAGAAAATGTCAGCACAGACAGAAGCTCTGATCAAGGGGTGATGGCATCCCTTGTGGGCAGGTCATGGTCACTTTGGTCATTTCTGATTGGGTTGTTTATGGCAAAGTTGTCAGGAAATGGGCACTGGTCTTGTGCTTCTTCACATACCTAAGAACGCAACATGAGGGGACATGACAGATATTTCTTTCCACCTTCCACTCTGCTTGTTCTTACCTTCTGTTCTCTATGTGTCCCCAGGCCAGTCTAGAGGGGATGTGTTGCCCTCTCTCCCTCATCTTGAGAGGTAGATGGCCACCCTGCAGGAGCTCCACTGCATGTTAGTGGCTGGCCCTGGTTCTCTCCGTGAGCCACCTCCTTTTCTTCTGTAGACTCATTAATGTTGTGCATCCCTACCTGGTCCTTCATTCTGTGCCAACATTTCCAGTCTGTTCAGTGAAAAAGGAATTGAAGCTGTGGGTGGGAGTCCCTGAGTGGATTTTACTTTGTGTCCTTTCCCTTGCAGCTGATGAAGACATCCCTGGCTACTCTGCAGCCAGTGGCCATCAGAGAGATCCTGGATGCAAAGAGTGGCAGTGGTGAACATGAAAAGTAATCTTCACTGTGGGGGTAACAGCTCAAGACCTCATTCCTTCCTTCTCCTCCTCTCCATTACCTGGTCCATGAGTGTGGTCAAGACATGACACCCTTATGAGATCTGTACCTCCTTCAGTACCTGGCAGGACCCAGCTGCTGTCCAGACATGCAGGGCTGAGGTGATTCACAAGCTGGGATCAGTGTCTGCCACAATCAGGCTGTGCAGAGAAAAGCAATGTGTAACATTTGTCAATTGCTCCTCCGAGTGTTAACATCTAAGACAGCTACAACCTCCCTTAAAATGCAATAGCACAGAACAAAATTCCTATGCCTGGGAACACACAAAGTTACCTATAAGATGGGTTTTGCTGTGTGGCTGAGAGGCCTACTCATATGGCCTGGCCAATATTTCTTGAGGGCTCATTGCCACTGGTAGATTAACTCTTCTACTATTTCACCAAGTAACTATTTCACCAATGTGAAGCACAAAAGAGAAAACTGCTCAGCTTGTCAGTTGACAGAGGGTTGTGATTCCCAAGTGACCCTGTGCAGTGAGAGTGAACTGGAACTGTTGAACACCTGGAGTTGGGGTGAACTATCCCACCATAAAGAGAACCATGTGTGCTTTAGTTAAAAATATAAATTATGCTTCACAATCATTAACAGCCCAAAGTACATAAATGACACAAGTCAGAGAAGTTGTCTTTGAAAATCGAGCAACAATTGACTACTTGGTGTTGAGACATAATCAGGGATGTGAGGAATTTAAAGGAATGTGTTGATTCAATCTTTCCAATAACTCTGGACTAATAGAAAAGAAAGAAACAACTAAAGAATCCAGCCAGAAGTGATAGAGAGACAGAAGGACTAGATTTTGCTTGACTGGTTTCATGAGTGGAACAACATTCCTCAGCTTCAGATGGTTAGGATGGTTAAAACAATCTGTTGTACTTATTGTGATGTGATGTGGTACTCATGACCTTAAACACTTGTTCTTTAATTCAGTGCTTACTGCTGTGCAGACTAGGTCAACATAACAACTGGCTATGACACTTTAAAGAAATGATATTAAAGTCTCAAAGGGGGGATTTGCTAACAAACCAGTTCTATTTATTCAAGGAGTCTTTGCAGCAGTGGGGGCAGATATTAGAAAATTCTTTTGACTTTAGCACATAGTGTATGATTCCTATATTCATGGTTAATGCTTACTATTGTAGCAGACAGTGCTTATTATAAATACCAGAGATTAATGCGGCCTAATGCTTCCTCACTTACTTATATCAGTGATTAATATGTATTAGTCAATATTTTAGTTCTGTGTGTCAGAGTGAAGAATAATGGAGTAGTACTTTATGACTTGACAACATATTTGGGGTACTCTCACAGAGAAAAGATTCATCAGATCCGGAACCATATCCAAACAAGTCGATGGACATAATTAGCATACATGCATGTATTCAATAAAGTGATGAATATGTATTTGTTTTCAGAATACAACATGGTCTGTTAGGTTACTGGCCATGCTTAGAGGAGACATCCTCATGCATTCAGCTCTGCTAATAAAGTAACGTCATCATTCAGCTCTGCTAATAAAGTAACGTCACCTTTCTGACACAGGAAATTGGTTGGAGAGTTTATTTCCCAGTTTTCGATGACAGCAAGGCTTTGAGCAGCCTGGTCCAGTGGAAGGTGTCCTTGCCCATGGCAGCGTGGTGGGACAAGATTGTCTAACCTAAACCATTTGATGACTCTCGATCTGTGGGCTGTCCATGGCAGACCCTGTCTTCACCAGGGTCCATCTTCCTTTGTCTGCCTTGCAGTCCCCCTTGGGCACAGGTTTGGTCAAAGGCTTCAGTCAAGAAGGCACTGATGGACAGATTACATCTATCCATACATGGGAGAAATGTGAATTAATAGTGAAGCCCAAAGTCTTTTGTACAAACTCAACCAAAAGTCATTTACCACTGCGTATCCTGAATATGGCTGATACCAATCCTAACTTCTGAAATAGTTCAGCACTGCATCTTTGGACAGAGCTGGGCACTGCATGAGCTGAGAGCCCCTGTGAGATGTGCACCTCCTCTGCCTGTGCTTCTGTGTGCAGGCTGTGGATCCTAGACTGGGTAATGGAGGGGAGGAGGAGGTAGAGATGAGGTTGTGGCTGTTTCCAGACGTTGCTGTTTCCCGGCTGTTGGGAGAAAAAGGTTGAAACTGAAAGACTTGGAGAGGAGAATGATGGATTTGCACAAAGTGACCTTTTAGGTGGGAAGGCTGAGAATATCCATGTGGGAAACGTCACGTATTTATGGCTGATTATCCTCTGTCTCTTTTGAGAGATAATATAAAAGCTATCAGAACCTTAAGAGGCATTTCTCACAGACAATCTTGAGCCTCCTTCTGGGAGAGTGAGAGATCAAAAAACTCAAAGGTCATAAAAGCACAGCATTGTGATAAACTGCACATACATGAGACCTCTTGAGATACTGGGACAGTCAGTGACCCGCCAGGATTGGACTGACCCTAATGGTGCCACTGTTCCCATTTTATGTGTCTCTGCAGCCTGGCAGTGCCTTGGTACCTTTCAGTTAATGAGGTAATGAAATAAATCTACTCTTTGCATTTCAGCTGTGGTTTGGTGACTTGGACGTATCAATTCACATCAACCCACTCCTGTGAGCCTTTGGAGCCTCGCTGTTCCTGCATTGACTGCGCAGTATCCAGGTGCATTTTCCTCAGGTCCAAGGGGAAAGGGCACTAAGTAAAATTAAGTTTTGGGACTCTATCTTTTATCCTGAGCAGACAGGAAGACTTTCTGTGGAAAGAAAGAGAACCTGGAGGACAAGGCTTGGATGCAAAACAACTTTATTGAGTCTGAAGAAGAAAAGGAGGTAGCTCACAGAGAGCACCAGTAGCAGCCACTAAAATGCAGTGGAGCTTCTGCAAACTGTCCATCTGCCTGTGCTAAAGAGGGAGGGAGGACAACACATCTCCACTAGGATGGCCTGGGAAGCAAAGGAAAGAAAGAGAAAAATAAAAGAAGGGAACAATGCCATGAAGCCCTAAAGGAAATATCCCAAAGCTCTATCTCCTGGCCAGAGCCAGGTCCTGAGTTCTTGGAGATTCTCAACTTTCCCAAAGTTGCCAGCAGATTTAGCAGGGACGACATCTGCTGCCACCATAGCAGTTGGTGATGCAGGAGATGTCAAAGCCCCCGGAGCTGATGGGCACTCCGCCACAGCTGAGGATGTTGCCAACGGCAGCGGAGGTGGAGGATCCCACGGCAGTGTTCTGTGGGAAGGAGCTGAGGACGGGGCCGGGCAGGGTCACCAGCACAGCAGGCGGCTCAATGACTACATGGGAGCTCTGGCACTGCCTGACACAGCACTCATTGCAGCTGCTGGCCAGCGGGCAGGGGCCGCAGGGCTGGCAGCAAGGGTCGCAGGGCTTGCAGCAGGACATGGCTCGGGGTCACAGGTGCACCTGGTGCAGAGGGTAGGCAGAAGGAGAAAGTGGGGACACATGAGGAGCAGCACTGCACCCAAACACCCTGCAGCCAAGGCAGCTCCTGGCCCACATTGCAGTGCCCAGCTCAAAGCCCAGGAGCCACCTCAGCCAAGTGCCAGCGTCTCGCTGTCTGCACAAGACCTTCTCTCCCCTGCCCTCTCCCAGCAGAAGCAGCTCCCAGCCCTGTGCTCCCAAATCCCATCTCAGCTGAGACCTACAGCCAGGAAAGAGCTGCTCTGGAAGCAGCAGGAGGCTTCCTACTCACCTGAGGATTCCTGAGGAGAAGGAGGTGAGAGAAGTGGTTGAGAGAGCAGAGACTTGGGCTGCCTTTTATAGCAGTTCTGCCCTGCCTCAGGCCCAGAGGCACCTTTGTGGAAGGCATAATTTTCTGACCAGCTCATGTCAAATGTGCACCATCCCAGCTAATGGTAGGGCTGTGTTGGTTTCCTGCATTGCTGCCTTTTCATTTCCTGCCTAATTTTGCATGCTTTCCTATATGAAGGGTCATTTCTTTAAGTGCTACGATGAGAGATTCAAGGATTTCCTGGACAAAAACGATGCTGAGTGCATTTAGAATGCTCAGAACATTGGCTTGCAGCATCTTCTGCGGACAAATGTGTTCACCTCTGCCATTCCTGTGGGGTTTTTTTGTCCCAGTTTTCAGGAAATAGGCATCAGTCTTGTGCTTCTTTCCCACATGCCTAAGGACTGCTATGTGGGGGGACATGACACATAATTTTCTCTTGCTTTTCCCATCTCTCCATGATGGTCACTCACTGTTGCACACAGGTCTACATCTGCAGGCAGGGTTGGATCCTGTTGCTCCTGTAACAGTGCACAGAGCAAAATTTTGTTGGCCTCATTTGGCTCATTCTCTTTCTGTGTAATCTCTGTGTGTCCTCTGGGAATACCAGGAATTGTCTGGGGCCTGATCCTTCTCCAAGATACCTGAGTAATTTTCTGCCCCACTTGTCCCAAGCAGAGTTCCCAGAACTGCACATATTTCTGTGTGTTCTTGACTCTTTGCTGACTCTGTGTGAGCATATAGATCTTTGCATTATTCCATGCAGGTGTGTTTGAGCATACGTGCATTGTTCTGTGCTTGGGTGACCTTTCTGAGGGCATGTGCAGGTCAGAGCAGCAGGACTCTTCCCTGGAATGTTCATGATCTCAGAGAAAAACATCTCCGCTTTGACATCAGGAATGGCACTTCGTACGGAATCATGGCTTCAAGCTGGCAGACAACTGGAACTGAAGTCAGCTTTTGCTTCCTGCACTCTCCATTTCTTGCTTTAAAAAATGGGGGAAAGGCCAAGGAAGCCTGCACACTTCTGCAGGTTGTTATCATGCAGTGGATTCCCTTCTGGTGTAATGTTGCTGGTGACCAGGGTGGGACACAGGCTCCTCCTGTCTGGGCCAATGCCAGATGTGCTTCTACAGCTCAGCAGCCTGGTGCTGACTGAGCAGGGCTGAGACCTCAGCCTGAGCAAATGGGTCTTGGACCAAAGGAATCCATATTCAGGTGTTGCTCTGCTGTGATATGTAGGACAGTTGGCTCAACCCACATAGCATAGCTGTGTGCTGCTTCCTTCCCTTTAGTGGCGGTTGAGGGTTTGAGTCTTTCCTTTTGATTCTTTTTCCTCAAGGAATTTTGTCCCATAATTTGCTTGGAAACAATAATGACTGAGTACTTAAGAAAGACAAAAGAAATGGCCAAGATCAGGGGAGGAGGGCATTTGGCTGCACTTCTCTTATCTGAGGGTTTCTGGCAGAAATGCTGAGAGGTTTGGACTGGGAAAATGGAGTTAGCTATAGTCTCTTTCACTCTCGGCATTTGGAGGGGAGACAGGCTGCGGTGCTATTGGGAGAATTTATCACCACTGCAGGGTTTTGTCTCTGCTGCCTTTTTTCTATGGTGAGTGGAGCTCTGCTCATAAGAGCAGACATTGCACTGAGACCTTATTAACACTGTACCTCACTAAAAGAGGGACTTTTCACCATAGGCTCAGTTGTCCAGAATCCTGAGCCCGCCTACCCTGTCCTGCTCAGAGAGGGCTGCCACTTTGGGCTCCCGCCACTTCTTTTACACTGCTCTGGGTTTTGCTGAACTGTAGCCCCACACACCCTGCCTGCAGAGACATCCCGTGGTTCCAGCTGCAGAGCTTCTGACACATCTTGTCTACCACCCCAGGAGTTTTGCTCATTCCTGACATTCCAGCTTGTTGCTCCCAAGAGTCCAGCTGTGGCACTGGGATGGGCTACCCCAGGGGGTTTGTGAGGCAAAGCCTCTCTTCCATCCCTTCCTGTCTCGGCTGCCATCACCTCCTGTTCCCTGAGCCCGCGCCACAGCGCCCCCTGCAGGCACGGGGGAATCACTGCACCCGCTCTGCCCAGCCGGGAGCCACCAGCGCCCCTGCCGGCCATGCCCAGAACTGCAGCCAAGGGGAAAGCGCCTGCGGCCGAGACAAGGCTGGCCCTGGTGTCTGGTTCTGTTTGGTGCTGCTGCCGGGGTGTTGTTTGTTTGAGTTGTTATACAGACTAGAAAAGAACTGTTATTCCTATTCTCATATATGCGCCTGAAAGCCCCTTAATTTCAAAATTATAATAATTCGGAGGGAAAGGATTTGCATTTTCCATTCCAAGAGAGGGTCCTGCCTCCCTTTGTCTTTCAAACCAAGATGGTGGCCTTGCTTGGAACTTTGCTTCCAGGAGGCTTCAGCCAGGTCCAACTTCTGTTGCCACAGGAGGAAGTTTCAGGCTGAAATTCCATTACTTGGCCCTGAACAGAGTCACAGCTCCAGCTGTGACACATCTGTGCCTGTATCTGGCCATGGACCTCACCAGGTTCTATTTGGACTCTGACATATGTGTGACTTCACAGCTTGACTCGGGGCTTTCCTTACCTCTACGGGCACTCCTGGTGATCGCTGGATATTGTTGAACCTTGAATACTGTCATGAGGCCTCATCCTGACCTTGACTCACTGACTTGTCTTTCCAACTTGACTCCAAACACATGCAAGACAGAAGCTCAAGGCAGAACATGAACAGGACATTATAAAGTTTTCCATGTTTTCAGATCTGGGACCTTACTGGGATTTTGGAGAAAGCTGGGGTAGGTTTCCTGTCTGTGGTGTACAGTGGATGTGCAGAACAGAGGGCAAAATTGCAACCCTGAACTCCATAAATGCAGACCTTTGTTGCCTTAGGGATCTGCCAGGAAGAATCCTTTGGTAAAGTGCTCTGTGGGTTCAAAGAGGCCCAGGGAGAATACAATATACCACAGTTCAGATCTCCAGATAATAACATTATGGAAATGGCCGTAACTAGCTCCATCTGTTCAACTTGGCAGAGACATGATGTAGATCTACCAAGGACTTTAGGCTGTTGTATTTTTTTGAGCATTTATTTTCAAATCTTACAGCATAATATCTTATTTTGAGATTTTTCAAAGTTGCATATACCCTTTATTGAAGCCAAAATGTTTTCCTGTTGAATTTTAAATGTAATAAATTAAATTTATTTTACACTCTATTAAATCAGCCTGAACTGGTTCTTTTCTTCTGAATTGTTTACTCACCTAAATTTGCTTTATACTCCCTTGTACCCCCTGTTATATGAAAAGTTTTTTGCTACAGTAAGAAGGTTACAAGATCCCAAGCACTGTCCCCATGTTTTACAAAGCCAGATCCAGACAGCTAAAGAATGGACTCAGTGCTGGCCAAGCCTGAACTTCTCAGTGGCACTGGTCAAGACTTCATGAAAGCATATAAGAAAAGGCAAAACATTGCATAGAAAGTGTGGGATGAAGAAAAACAGAACCAGTGGGTTACATTAAAAATCCAGGAAACTCAAGGCTCAGAGAAGAAGATGGAGGAGGTACCTCTGGTGATGGGATGGAGATTCTCTGCAGCCCATGGGAGGGATGATTCCTGCAGTGCACGGAAGACCCCACGCCAGACCAGATGGAAATCTGCAGCAGGAGTGTGGCCCCTGGAACAGCCTTACCCAGAAGGACTACAGCCTGTGGACAGGACGCTCATGGGAGCAGATCTTGAAAGACTTCAGGCTGTGGGATGGTGTAGCAGGGCATCTTACCCCCCCTAACAGTTTATCTGTTTTTGGTTAACTGGTCAGATAACTCAAACAGGACAAGCTCTCCTCTTGAGAGTTATTTGGGTCTCATGGGCCACAGCAAACTTCCACAAAACAGAAATCTTCTGTACATTCCATGGAAATGTGTGGAGTTTCTCCTCTGAGTAGGGACACTGCTTTGTGGTTACTCCCACAGAGTTAAGTAAAGGAATGTGTACAAAATCATCATTTATGTGGTAAGTTACATTTAACTGCTAATCAATTTGATTTCTTTTTCTATCTTTAGTACCTTGATATAGTGCACTGTTTTATGTTATGCTGTAATCTACTAGTAGTGCTTTAATTTAATACCTTGTAGTAAGTAATTCTGATTAAGATCTTTCATCTGTCATTTTTTGTCTGTTCATTTGTCTTAATAAATAACTCATCTTTCATAAATATATCTGATTTGCCATTGTTAAAACTTGTGGGACAAAGTGGCAAAACTTCAACTGTTGATACTCTAAGGCTAAGATAAGATCCAGCCACCCCTGGACTCCTCTCTCTGAGAAGGTCTTTAGAGAACAAGGGGGGTCTTCTTAGCACCTCGTGACTCAGTGGCCAGGCTTCTTTAATAAACTGTCTGGAACTCTCTCTCCAGCTGAGACAGATCAGCTCACATCTGAGCAGGGAAAAATGGGGGGAGGAAGGAAGGACAGAAACGGACAGTTGTGCTCTTCCCTTTATGTTGAATAATTTTTATTCTGAAATCTTTCCTCTTCTCTTTCCCAGGCACTGACCAGGCACCCCCTATTGTACTTCTCCTGATGTTTCTTGCACTAGACCTCTCTGGTGGCACCCAACCTCCATATTTCTGTCTCTCCAAATTTCTTGCACAGTGAGCCTGATGGGAGTCCCTGTTAAGAAGGGAAGGTAATTTTGATCAAGTGTAGTTAAAACTTGTTTACAGACACAGTGGTATGGATGTCCAAATATTCTCCTTGAGAGGCATTTGACAATTCCTTCATGCTTGGGGATGGCTTCAAATACCTGAGCACTAATTACATGAAACACTAAAGCTTTCTAGTGGCTCTTCCCAGGGATTCTGGGGCCACCCAGGGCTCCCCCACATGAAGCAGTGTCTCAATATTGTACTCCCATGGCTGAACAGGGTGGTGTTTCCGGAACAAGCAGACTCCCCACTGTCTGCAACTCTTGAGACTATGGCAGCAGAAATG